TCGTTTCTGCTTTGCTTCCTGACCGCGTTTAGAATGACGACAAAGAACAGTAGGGAGAGCATATTGCAAAATAATCTTTCTTTTTTTCCGCCTAAAATTAAAAGCTCAGACAACAAACAACGTTTTGACTTTTGTTGTTTAATCGGCATAATTCGGAACAGCAACAGCAACAACAACAACAAAAGTAGTAAAAGCCTCATTTAAATATTTCAACAAAAACCATGTGCAAAAAAATGAAGTTTTCTTCTAAAGTGGTAAAATTTTCCCCCAGCACCTTTCAGCCTGGTCAGGTTAAATGAATAGCTAACTACTGCGGAAACGATACAAAGTGGATAAAGAGGCAAACGGTTGGGATAGCCGAGGGAGATCGAGGGATTGACGGATGAACGTCCTTCAGTTGTCAAATACATCGGTGAATTACAAATGTTTGGCTGCTTACGGTTCCTTTCGCCAGCTGCAGTTTCTCCTTCCGTCCACCTCAGTTCATATTTTCCCTCGCTTCTTTCTCCTTTTCCTTCCTTCCTATCTTGCACTTCTTTTTTACACTCCTTTTAAAACAACCTTGTTATGGAATATGTGGTAAACGGAAAAAGGGAAGAAAAAATGTTAACATGGAAATGTTTTTGAGACCAAAAGGTTGAAAAATGTCGAAAAGCGGTAGAACAAAGTAGGAAAAAATCTTCTGTAAAAACTCTGAAATAGCTTTGTAAAGTGAGAAGAAACTAATCTCTCTTCCAATTTTAATCCGTTTTTTTGGTCTTCTAAAAATGCAAAATACTTAACTACTTTTTTTTTTTACAGCTTCGTGATTATTCTTGTTGTTTTTGCTGGTGGTGGGTTAGTTAAATGAGTAAACTAGGCGATTGGCGAATGAATAAATGGATGATTGAAAAGATGAATAAACTGATGAAGAAATTTAGCCAAACAAATGTGCTGCTAATCAAAAGAAAGGAAAAAACAATTACTCACTGTATTTCATCGGATAGTAAAACAACAAAAAGAAGGAGAAAAAAGATCAACCAAACATCTATATTTATCTACCATTTTCAGTTTGCCGTCCCTTTGTATGAGTCATTTCTTTTTGTACTACTCTAGAAAATGCCACAACAGTTGTTTCTGTTCAAACTCTATCCGAATTACTCTGCCCAAGCTGTTGGTACCGCTGTTAAAGTTGACAAAACCAGTGAAAAAACGTAGCAAAAAAAAAAATTATTTTCATTTTTTTCAATCAATAATTATAAATAATAAAATCGTCAATTTTGCAACATCACCGATAAATTGAAACTGTCATCGTTGTTGCATAATAATGGCACTGATAATAACCTTTCTCTTATAAAATTATGACACCTGCAGACGACTACTTCCAATGCTCCACTGCTGCTTAACTGCAGAAATCTTTTAAATTGTAAATTCTGTTGTGGCTCGAACAAAACTTAAAGCTGTTTATAAGAAACAGAGAAGAAATGCAAAAAAAGTAACTTAAATTGTTGTTAAGAATCCATTCTAATACTGGAAAAAAAATTGGACAGTTACCACTCGTTGAACCGACAAGACAGATAGTCTGTGCATTGATGTACAGTTGTTGTTGAACAGACAGGTAACAGCACTGTAGAAAAGAAGAAAACAAAACAGTAGCAGTAATAATTATTAGAAATAGTTTAAAGAAGGAAAAAGTTGAAAAAAAGCTGTTTTAAGGAAAAAAATAAAAATTTTATTTATTTCTTCTTCCGTTCCATCCTCTGCTTCTCGCAGATACCGTTCTTTTTTTTCCTCTCCCCCCCATCCCCCTTCCTGCCGTCTCTGTAAGGTCTGAATCTTTGATCATATAGCAAATTTAAGAGCACTAAATCTAAAATAAAATTAAGTGAAAAAAAAAGCCATTTTTTTTGCCAAAATTATAAAACTCATAAACAACCATCAAAATTATTTATTGAACTTAAAGGTTTAATCAACGGATTCTGTAGTAATATATCAAATTTTACTAATAAAACAGAATTTTAGCGCTATATTAGTCAACCAAATTGGCTGCCACTTAATTGCATTTACAGGCGTCAACTATGCGTCTGCAAACATTTTTAGAATTTGATAAAGATTACAGCTCTTCTCTCAAAGAAAGCTTTATTTTCCAATCTTAGTTCAACAAACTATGTGTGCCAATTTTTTTGCCTTTTCTTCTTCTATTAAGCGAAAAATTGTTTTAAAAAAAAAAAATTTTTTTTTTTTTCACTGCGATTAGACTAAGTTGTTTTCATTGAAAAGAAAATTTATGTGTTCATCATCAACGAATCTGGCGGCCTTTCACCCATTTTTCTTCTCGTACACTCCACCCATTCCTTTCTCTCTTAAACTTTAGTTTACCGGTGATAGCACACTACAATCACTTAATCCTTTTACGTGTACCAATACTCTAATATAGTAACTGAGTTGAAAACAGAAAAAAAAAAGAATTAAGACAGAGAAAGCTTGATGAATTTATTCAATAATCACACATTAACAGTAAATCAAAAATGACGGCTACGGTTGGCTAAGTTTGACTGAAAGGTTAAGAAAAATCAACAAAAGCGAATTTCAAAGAAATCACAAAGTAGAATCTTTCAGACGACTGTTCACTGAAGTGATCGGAATGAATTCATAAAAAAGAAGAAAATTAAGCAGAAATAAGTAACAAAAGCCGGCTTGACAGATAAGAACCATTGCTACTGAGTAGCTTTTTACTGTCTGCTCTATTTCTCTTGCCTTCATTTTTTTCATTTTTTAATTTTAAAAATAGAACCGATTCGGCAGTTTTATTGTCCAAACATACAAAAAATGAACTGATACTTTTGGTGATAAAACAGACGACGACGAGGGCGATGTCAATTAGTATTGCCGGTAGATGGAATAAAAAACTGTACCGAACATTATCTGCCAAAAAACCTATAATATATTCTCAGAAAAAAAAAAGTGGATATAATTGCAACTTTTAAACAGATGATGTACATTTACCAATGTCCAGCTTCTTTTTTCTTTTTTTTCGATTTACTGTGTAAAAAAAATTTTTAATTTTGAACAGGAAAAGTTTTGAAAAATGTTGTCTCTATTTATTATTGTTTGCATTTTATTCTGCCATTTTTCCGCGCTAACTTTCATATCTGTTATTTATAACACTTTAAAAATTAGCCCCTAAAAAAAGAAAAGCGGCAAAAAAAAAAAGCTAATTAGAATTAATGATAATTTTCCAATCATTATTTCTTGCTTTTTTTTCCAAAGAACATTATTAAAGCAGTGAAAGCAAAACACCAGAAAAAAAAAAAAAAAAAAAAAAAGTTGACAACTAATTGGAAATTGACCACCAAGAAAAAAAAAGGAAGAGAAAAAAAACAATAACAACAACAAAGCCATAGAATTGTTTTATTACTTGAAGATTAAACGAATATCGGTAGAGCAAATAATTCACCGAAGAAATACACTACATATGTTATTTGACAAATACTGCAACCAAAAATTTTGTAGGCGGCCACTGTACAAATTAGACATTCGCAATATTTTGAAAATAGTTTTCCAAATACCAAAAATGATAAAGGATGTAAATAAAAAAAAAAAAAAAAAAAAA